TATGAATAAATATTTATTTATGCAAATATACATATATATATGTATATATATGTATATTTGCATAAATATACAATATATATTTATATATATATATCTTTTGTGCTGGCAAGTTTAATTCTGAAACCCAGTAGAATTTACCAAAATGCCTCAACATTTTACCAAGACTCCCCAAGGACAGATCAGTAGGGGTGAGTGCACCCCGTGGGCACAGGTGCTGTGCCGCTCACACCTGACACCATGGCCCCCCCCCTGCACGGGCCTGATCCTCCTCCACCCTCCTCTGAGTGCCAGCAGCCCCTCCCCATCTGCTTGCCGGGCTGTTTCTGGCTCCGAGCTCCAGAACTCCGTCCACGCTGGGCCCTGGAGTGGCGGAGGCGCTGGCCCGTCCCTGGCGGGCTTTGGAGCGGGTGTTTCTGGGAGGCAGACACCAGCTGGTTGGGAGGGATTTGCATATTCCAGGGAGCCCCCAGAGCCAGGCCAGGGTGGTGAGGGGGGCTGTGGCAGGACAGAGGGAGAGGGGAGGCTCTGGTCAGCCAGGGGTCAGCGGAACAGATTTCAGGTTGGAGAGACAGATGGTTAAAGCAGAGAGGGGGAGAGGGCGGATCCTGACTCCTACACGGGAGAACTCACTCGAGAGCCTGAAAATGCCTCGCGTCTTTGCGGGGCTTGGCGGTTTCCAAAGCATTTTTTTTTTCCACTTGATTTCCCACTGAACCAGGAAGAACACGATTGCCATCTCCATTTAACAGATGAGGAAACTGAGGCTGGGACGAGCTACCCCCCTTGTGGCCGGTGCCTGGGGCGAGCCCTCTGGACTGTGGTCCAGGGCCCCTCACGACACCACGGAGCCAATGGCGTTCACGGTCCCAGCTTCCTTCTCTCAGCCCGCCCCAGAGGGATGGCTGACTCGCCCATTCCACAGACCTGCTGTCCTAGAGGCCACCAGTGACCCCCGTCCTCATGCTGCAGCCAGGGTCCTTTCTCTGATCTCACCTGACTTTGCCTCTCCGCAGTGTCCCACACAGGTGACCGCGCACCCCCACTACTTCCTGGAGCTGCCGCTCCCGGTTCCCATGGCAACCTGCCCCTTGCCCGCCCTGCTCTTCTCTACCTCTCATCTGAATGTCTGGAGACCTCGGTCCTGTCCTCCCCTGCTCTATGTCCCTCAGCCCGAGCCGTCTCCTGTAGTCCTGGCACTTCAAGGACCAGCTGTCCCAAAGCCTCCCAGATCCGTTTCTGTGACGTGTCCCTTGCCTCGGTCTGATTCTCACAGAGGTCAAGAGCACAGGCTCCAGAGTTGCACTGCTGCCATTTACTAGTCCTGTGACCTTGGATGACCTCTCCCTGCCTCCTTACTGTCTGTGGAATGGGGTGTCAGGCCCCTCTTCTGTAGGGTTGCTGTGGACATTAAATGAGATGTAATTAGGACATCATCAGAAGCACCCAACAAATACCAGGCACCATGGCTGGACACCTGCTCCTCCAATGTGGCAAGCGCCTTCCCACCCCAGGACCTTTGCATTAGCCATCAACCCACCCCTCTATCTGGAATCCTCGTCCCTGATTTTCCTAAGTCTAACTCTTTCATTCAGACTCTCTGACCACCGGGCCTAAAATTGTCCCCCAGCCACCCAGCCCACCTCCCTCTATTTAAGCCTTCTGTGTAACATCATTATTGCTGGGGACTTCTTGTGTCTTTGTTGTTTGACACCCTCGACACACCAGCACAGAATCCTCACTACGACAGGGAGTTGGGTCTGCTGCCGTCAGTGGCTTCTCGGTTCCTGGAAGGTGCGTGTGGTCGGTGCCAGGAACAGATTTATTGCAATAAATGAAGTGAACATTGGTCTAAGCCTCCAGCCAGGGAGTGGCTGACCTGACCTGTGCTGTGTCCACGGCCATTCTGGTCATCGGCAGCCAGGACAAAGGTGTTCCCCGCTGGGAATTCACTAAGATTTCCGCCATGTCCTGGGGCGGGGAGCAGGGGCCGCCCACAGAGCCCTCCTGCAGGGCCCACCCCTCTTCTCCGGTTCTGCCTTTTCTCTGGCCTGGCACCCTCCAGGGATGGGGACAGGCAGTGGGACTTTCACAAAGCCAGGCCTACCAGGGTCGGCGTCCACTCCCTTGCAGGCCCGCAGCTGGGCAGCTCAGCCTTGGGTTCCCTGAGGACCGGCTCCGACCTCCATGATTGCAAGACCCCACTCCACGACTGTGTCATTCGGGCCTCCGGACGGGGCAGAGGCAGGCTCTGGTTTTACAGCTGGACGCTCTGCTCATGGGCATCAGAGAGATCTGTGTCCTTGCCCACTGTGGGAGGAAGGTAGCCCTGGGTCATGTATTGAAGGGAACGCCCTGGGAGAGGGATTTTAAGCCTGGGAGCCCCAAAGTTCCAGAGCAGGTGACTATGGAGAAGGTGGGCTGAGTGGGGGAGAAGAGCACTCCTCCTAATCCCTATTCCAAAACACACCAAGTCACCACTGTGAGATTCTCCTGGGGATGAACCAACATGCTTACTTCTATGTCTCCTAGTGTGCTATGGCCCCTGAGTCCTCATCTTCACAAGGTGGCTGCAGCTACTCCAGCTGTAGTCCTAGAACCCATTGGGAAGAGCCTCATTTTCAAGATTCCTCAAAATAGACTTGGTGCCCTGTTGGCCAATGAAGAACCCATTGTTGGGTCTAGGGTGATGGATGCTGGGATTGGATGGATGCTTGAGTGAACATTCCCTGCTCTGAGCTGGGATTGGAGACTTCCATGCAGACAGCCTAAGAGTTGGAAATGACTGGATCCCCAGAAGGGAACTGGGATAATATTGCTATAGTGCAGTGCCTAAGACTGGGTAATTTATAAAGAAAAGAAATTTGTATTTCTCATAGTTGTGATGATTGGGAAGTTCAACATCAAGGTACCGGGTCTCGCTTCCTCTTCTCATCCCGTTATGGGGGAGGGGTGTCCCGCCCTTGTAACCTCATCCAGGGCTAATGACCTCCCCCATGCCCACCTCCAGTGCCACCCACCTATGAATCTGGGGATTGTTCCCAGCCCATGAACCTTGGGGGGGACACACTCGAACGATAGCAGATACCAAAATAGAAAGGAAATAAAATTTCCTTTAAACATTTGTTTTTTAGTCAAAAAAATGGCTTCTTTCCCTTTCTGAACCCTCAGGTGCTTGAGTTGCCCACATACGGGTGATTTAGGAGCTTGTTCCCGACGGCGAGTGAGCCAAGCCCAGAGGAGCCACGCGCTGCCCAGACACCTGAGGAGGTGAAGGCCCCCGGCTGTCGGCTCTGCGGAGGCTGGCGGTGGGCGGGAAGGACGAGGCCAACAGTGTTCCTGCTCCATCTTCTCTGGCCTCCCTGTTAGGTGAGCACCTACAGACTGACCGGACACAACAGCAGACGTGGGCTTTTATGTTTGAAAGTTGGGGGGCTGAGCCAACCCAGGCGCCGCGCCCTCCCAACTCTTTCCAGGGTGACGGGTTCAAACCTGCTTTCTCCTCCAGCCCACGAGGAAGATCGGGTGGGTTCTTCTCCCCAGTGTCTTTTTCCCACGCCCATCTCACACCGTTTTCCACAGTGTCTTTAAGCCCACGTGGACCGGAGCGTGTTTTCAAGAAGGGAATCAGAAGTGAGGAGGACCTAGACAAGGGGGCTCTGTGGGTCGGTCAAAGGGACAGGGCACCCTGGGCCTGCAGAATTTTTTTCTTTTCTTTTTTTTTTTTGCTATGGGACTACTGGGGGTACCAGGGATTGAACTCAGGGACTCTCAACCACTGAGCCACACCCCAGCCCTATGTTGTATTTTATTTAGAGACAGGGTCTCACTGGGTTGCTTAGCGCCTCGCTAAGTTGCGGAGGCTGGTTTTGAACTCATGATCCTCCTGCCCCGGCCTCCCGAGCCCCTGGGATTGCAGGAGTGCGAGGCTTTTCAATAGGCTGCGTGGCTCTGCCTGTGTGACTCAGGAAGAAGCTTACAGTCAATAGCTCAAAGGTCAGTGGGGCAGATGGGCTTGGTATAAACAGCTTCCTGTGATGGATGGAGGCCCCGGGGGTTAGGGACAGGGACAGCCCCTGGTGCACATCAGGGTGGCGCCCAGGATCTCCCAGGTTCTCTCCTGCTGCGTGGTTCCTCTCATGGAGGCTGAAGGGGAGGAAGCTGAGGTCTAAGCTGAGGCCTGCCCCTGCTCCTCTCGCAGACCTGGAGTCCGCGGGTCCTCGTTGGTTCTGGAAGCTTCTCTGCAAGAAGGACCCGGCAGGAGGTGCCGAGTGGCCCTGCCCATGGGCCGGTGCCCAGCAGGTTGGTCCTGGTCCTTTCCCCCCAGGACGTGCAGCTCCAGCAGGGCCACGCGGCCAGCAGTGCCCTGGAGCTCCTGGTGTCCAGGCAACGGGAATCAGGACCTAGGCTCCGGCCCCGCCTCCCGTCCTGGCCAGCGCTCCAGGCTGCGGGCCACTGAGTGTGTTCCAGGTGCCCAGGTCACCTTGCGGTCCCGCCCTCCAGGCCTCAGTCCCCACCTGGCCTTGTCCCAGGGCCTGTGGTGGCTTAGTGTTTCTGAGGCGGGGCCCCTTGCCAGCTCCCTGCAGGGTGGCCGTCACTAGAGGTCACCCTTCCTCTGTGTGTGGAGTCAAGGGCAGAGATGAGGCTGCTGCAGTGCATTCTGGGACCCCCGGCACCACCCCTCCCCTACCTGGGCCTGAGGGGGACTGAGCCAGGCCCAGGACCTGCGTGACCTGGTGCTGATTGGGCTCCAGGGTCCGAGGCACCTGCCAGCCCTGGGGTTCTGCTTCTCACTTCCTGTTTTCCCCAAGCCACAGGCAGTGGGCACAGGTTTGAGGGCAGGAGTTATGTGGCTGGAGACCCTGATTTTCATCCAGTAGGTCCTAAACCTGGCTCAGTGTGACCTGTGTGGCAGTGGAGGTTTCCTTCTCTCCTGGGGTGACCTTACTCACCACTGTCTCTTCTCCAATCACACTGACAGCCCCTGTGCCTGCCAAGCCCTTTCATGCCACAGGACCTTTGCATGTCCCTTGGCCAGAATGCACTTCCCAAATCTTCACATGCAACTTTATTTGGAGCTCAAATATGGCTCCTTCAGAGTAATGGTCTCTGACCTCCCGGCTCCATCCTGGTCACCTTTATCTCATCATCCTGATTATCTCCACAGGGCTCTGACCACACTGTAGTCACCCCTTAGCTCACTGTGCTATCATCCACCTCCCCTTGCCCCAGCCTCAACTGAAGCAATGGGAGCACACGGACTCGGCCTGTCTTGCTCCCTCATTCCCTCCCGTCTCCTAGATTTCCTAACACATAGTAGGTGCTCAATAAGTATTTGTTGAACAAATACACTGAAAATTCTTAGAAAACAGACTGCTGACGGCCTACTCTGTAGATAAGTCAGGGAGAATCAGAGGCTACAAGGACCTCCGAGGGAGGAAGTGGCTCCGGCAGGGGCTCTATCCCAGGTCTTCCACTAGACATCCGTGTCCCCGCCCCGTCCAGTCTCTGGGCAGTTTCACAACTCAGGCCAGACGCCCTGTGGCCTGGGGGTCAGCAGGCCCCCAGCCCCACTGTTCCCCACGGCCCACCTTGACCATGGGATGGGGTGGGAGTGCACAGCAAGAGAGAAGAGGGGACACGGGTGGCTGAGGGCTAGTACAGTGAGCTTGGAGGGCTTGGAGGCCCTGGGACCCCCACACTGAATAATTTCCAGGAGAAAAAAAAATGTGTGGGATGTAGACTTTTTCAGATGGAAAATGCAAAGTGACCACAGTTCACAGCAGGTGCCTCGCTGCTCAGGGCAGCTGCACCCCGTCCCTGTGTGGGGACGGCCTTTGCAGCCCCTGGAGCACCCAAGAATGCAGAGGTCAAAGAAGGTCAAAGCAGAAGCACACTGAGACTCATCCCCATCCCCTTCACTTGCCAAAGGCTGGGAGGACCCACCCTCGGACCCCAGCCCCCAGCCCCCCTCGCACCCACGGCATCTCCACTGAATCCAGCCGCACCTCCCACCTCCCACAGGC